TACTAATTTGTATTTTTTCTGTATGCATCAGGAAGACTAAATGTATCTGATTCTAATTTGTAGTGAAACACGGTCCTTACTCTGGTTGTTTGAAGCCAATCACATAAGAACCGAGTAGGTTTTCTTTTGCAAATAAAAAAAAATTAAAATGTTAAGTTGAAATGCACTTTTGACATTTCTTTTTATGAGCACAGTGAGATCATTCTGCATCGAAACTCAAATTTACTGATGCATTGTAGTTGCTTCAGACCAGGCTGGCATATGAGTAACTAAAACCTGGCTTAATTGGCTGAGCAGTTTGGATTTATTGCTGCTTTGTGCTACAAGTGCAAGACAAAGCTAAACTACCAGATCAGTGGGAAAAAAAAAAAAGTTTCAGGAAAAAATCACACAATAAATGAAAGTTGGCATTCAATTTCTGTGCCACAAGAGTAGGATTATTTTAATGTGGATAGGAGGTCAAATTTGTAGGTCAAATTCTCTTGTGATATGGGAAAATGCAGCTGTATTTACATGATACACCCAGAAAAATCCAACAAAGAGCAAGGATTTGAATTTTCATTCTCTCTTGTTATACAGTAACAGAGGAGAAACCCATTAAAACAACATGAACATAAACTAAAGTGAAGGTCACTTATTACTCCTGCCTTCCCTCTGAGAGACAGCAAATAATTTCATTTTGTAACTCTAAAACTTTGCCTCTATACCAGAAAACTGAATTGGGAGGAAAAAGAAAAGAAAAAAAATTTGAGAACTAAAAACAGTCTGAGCAATCTCCACCTGTGTGGGGCTTCAAAGTCTTACAATATTTTCTGAAAGGCAGGGCGAGGAGTGAGAATTAGAAGTGAGACTGTTCACTAGGACACACCTTTCTAATCTGCAGGTCCTGAGACCCTCTCCTGCTTCCCAGATAACAGAGAAATTGGTTTAAGGAGTTCTGTTTTATCAGCATATTTACTTAATACCTTAACAAAGGACCACCTTCTGCTTCATTCAGCAGCTGGAATAACAATAATAATAATAAACATATATATATATTTGAAGATATTGGCCCATTTATCTTGATTTTAAATGATACCTGCAGCAGGTAAATTTATGTGTATGTATTCATGGTAATACCAGCCAGATGCAAACGTACTTCCAAAGTCAACATACATTCAGTTTAAGCTTAGTTATTAAATGACTAATTATGTTTCCAGGTTTGGTGTAGTTTTATGGGTGAGTGGGTACTTGTAGTTTCTGTCAACCACAGAGATCTTTCATGGTACCAAGGGAAGACAAAAAAATTCAGAGAGGACACCACCATTTGAATATTGATGTTTTTTTTCCCAGTTGTGGGTTTTAGCACCATAATTCCCTGGAGATGGCTCTAATTGTAGCTCTATTGGAATGGTAAAAGGAAGTTTTGTGCTGTAATCCCAAAGTGTCAAGGGCAAGCTCACCCTGAGTGCTTGGAGTAAGCACTGGATGTTTGGATTTAGGGAGACTTTATCTCCCACTGCCCTGGGGCTGTGATTAGACACCTGAAACCCAGGCAGAAATCAGAATACAAGGGAGCATATGGCAAGTTGGGCATTAACTGAGTGGGAAATGAACTTTGACAAGGTGCCCGCAGAAACAAAGGGAGTTGTGACAAATTACCTCATTGTGGTCTTGGCAAACACGGGGGCAGTACCCAATCTCCACTCTCGTGACCACTGAAACATCATGGGGCTGAGTCTGGACTTTGGGGTGGATTTTAGGGCAAGGTTCTTCCCCAGAGGTGCTGGCAGTGCCCAGGCTGCCCAGGGAATGGGCACGGCCCCGAGGCTGCCAGAGCTCCAGGAGCCTTTGGCCAGCGCTGCCAGGGGTGCCCAGGGTGGGATTTTGGGGGGTCTGGGCAGCAACAGGAGTTGCTCTGGATAATCCTGATGGGTCTCTTCTGACCCAGAATATTCCATGATTCTCTAAGTGGGTGGGCAGAGCTACCTTATGGAACCTTGAGGAGGTGCCATAGGAAGCCAAAAGTAACCAGGATGTACAATGTCAGGGATGCCAGACACCAAAAAGAGCAGTTTATTCATCAGTTTATTTATCAGTTTATTTATTTATTCAGATGCTTACCACCTGTGGAAAGGTTATCTTACATTCCTGTGAAGAACCAAAGAACACGTCCAAACGTTGTTCTGCTGCAGAAATACAGAGGGGGAAGTAATTTGCTAAACATTTAACTTATTAATAACTTTTATGATCAATACCATTGAGCTTACTCATATTTAAGCGCGATAAATGTGTTTGGAGCAATTGCTGGGTCATGCTGAAGGTCTCCACACCCTGAATTCTCAGCAGTAACCTCTGGGCTGCCCAGCAAGAGCTCATCCCTCTCAGCAGACACTGCCTGCTCTTCCCAAACCACGCAGCCACTCGGAAAAACCAAACCCTGCCCTGCTCTGTCCTTTAGAGCTTGGCTATAATCCATGAATAAACGAATGCTCCGCTCGATTTAAAACACAATTACACCAGCAGGGAGCAATTTCGGCTGGGGTAACAGGGACAGGAGCTCAGGGGAGGACAAGCTGGACAGACCAGGCAGCTTCTGGTGCCAAGGGGAGGCTGTGACCCCCTCTCCAGCGCTGCCAGGCTCTCCTGTTCCTCTGACCTTTGTCAGCGAGCTGAGTTAACCTCGGGGAATATTAACCCAGGCTGGGGTGGGGAAAAAAAAAAATAAAGAAGAAAGAAAAGAAAATTAAAGAAAAGAAATTTAAAGAAAATTAAGAAAAGAAAAGAAAATTAAAGAAAAGAAATTTAAAGAAAATTAAGAAAAGAAAAGAAAAGAAAAAAGAAAAAGCTTTTACTGCTCTAGAGCCCTGCAAGGCCCTTTAGTGAGCCAGATACCAGCCAGGAGAGAGGGAATAACTGGGGGAAAGAGGGTGGGAATGCCTGAGCGCTGACCAGCTCAGCCCTCTCGGAGAAGAAAAGGTGTTAACAGGGATAATCAACGAGCTGCTGGCGAGCGCCCAGACCTTCAAGGCTGTAACTAAGCAGAGCTCCATTCATTTGAGCCGAGCTGCTCTGCTGTTGTTCCCTAGCCTCCTAAAGGGTTTAAACTCCCCTGGCAGAGCAGCGCAGAGTATTTTTTACCTCCTGCCCAGTTCTTCTTGTGACGCCTGAATTGATGTCATACCTACAAAGTGGCTTCATACAGACAGACAGGAACCAGGGCATATTTTTCAAATCTCTCTCCTTATCTGTAGCCATCGTGCAAGACATTTGGACAAATCCAAACCGAGCTCCAGGATATCCTAAACTCAAAAGAAAGGCAGTTTTGAGTTGTAAGTTATTAGGTGATGTCTTGAGAGTACAAACGACTCCCAAAGAAAAAAATATATGAATTTCCAAAGAAAATAAGTGTTCAGCTTTTCTAGTAGAACTGAACAAATCTTGAGGGATTTTTTTTTTCATGATGCCAAGTAACAATTTGCAGGGCTATTTCCCCTCCATTTTGGTAAGGAAACTTAACAGGGAAATCTTATGATCAGGCACCCTACTTCAAACCTAAAACATCTCTAAGGTCTTGCTGTAAATGAAAGACAAGGACATGCCACACTGGTGGGCATGTTAGAGAACCACAGAAGGTGACACTGCAGTGCTTTGGTTTGTCTGGGATGATTTTACCTTTTGCTTCAGGTGAAATTTGAGAAGGAATTGCTGCAACTGAATCCATACTGGAAAATGACTGAATCTCACTGATTCCTTTTGGGAGCTCAGGAGCAGAAGTAGCCCCCAAAATGGTGCAACTTAAAAAACTGAGCTGAAGTTGAAAGATGTTTTAGGTAATACTCCTCATGTTTTTGTACCTAGGGTCTGCAGATTCATAGTTCTCTCTGGAAAAATACTGAAGGCACGATCTTGGTGCGCTTGATAGAATTCCTTGATATGCATTTGGAAATATAAACAAAGCCCAGACACTTGCATGCCAAACTTGTGTACTTTGCCTTATCTGCGGTCCCCCTACAGAGATGTTAAGCATAGCATGCAGCAATACTGCAGCTAAATCGGAGCTGCTATTAACAGCGAGTGGAATTTCTTCACTTGAGAACTTACTTTTCCAGCACTACTCTGAAGTTTGGGGACGTGAGTGGAAATTTTTTTTTTTTTTTGTTTAAAACATTCTTTCTGCTGTGGAGCTCAGCTTTGGCAGAGAAAAACCCTCCCTCGCTGCAGGTCTGCCTCACAGGTGGCACCACAAGCCACCAGAGCGCTGTGAGTAACGCGACCATTGAGGTGGCAGTAATTTCCCAGAGCGCCCCGTTATTAAATGACCCTAAAAAAGTCCAAGGAAAAACGGAAGTCGTTTTCCCGGCCGGTGTTTTACGAGCAACCTTTATCAGGTTCTGACCTGCCCTGTTCAGGGAAGGGCCGCGACTCCTTGTTTGCCTGCAACACCCTGAAACGGCGGCCAGCAGGGACCCGCGGGCGAGCCCAAAAAAACAGGGCACAGCCCCCGCAGGCTGGGCTGGAGCCAAAGCCGGGGGTCTGACCCGGGGGAGGGGGCGCAGCCTCCGCCTCCCCTTCCCCTCCGCAAACACCGGCGGGAGGAGGAGGAGGAGGAAGGCTGGGGTATGGGGAGAGGAGAGGGAAAAGAAAAGGGAAGGGAAGGGAAGGGAAGGGAAGGGAAGGGAAGGGAAGGGAAGCCCGAGTCCCTGCGGGCAGCGCTGGCCCGAGGCGGGTCCCGCCCGCCGCGGAGGAAGGGCCGGGCGGCGCATCCACCTGCGGGCACCTGCCCCTGCCCCGCAGCCTGGCTCCTCCCCGGCCGCACCGCCCGCTCCCGGCTCCCTCCGCCGCCTTCCATCCCCTCCCGAGCCGCTCCCGCAGCCCCAGGTAAGCGCTGCTGCTGCTGCTTCCCCCCGCAGCCCGGGAGGGAATCGCCGCTGCGAGCCGCGCCTCGCTGGATTTTTGGGTTTTAAGGAAGAAAGTTCGGCTGTGCTCTTGGGGGGGATGAGGAGGGACGGCGGCGGTGTCTGGGAGCTCCTGTCCCGCGGGTAGGAGGCGCCGGAGGAGGGAAAACAGAGGGGCGGCTCTCCCCGGTCCCCCCTGCTTCCCCCGGGGTCTCCAGCGGGAGATGCAGAGCGGTAAAGTCGCGCTGTCCCGCGGGCCGGGTGTAAGGGAAACCGGGACCAAAGGTGCACGGAGGAGGTGGATGGGAGAGCCGGGATAGCCGGGAGCAGAAGGAGCAGGGAGGAGGTGGATGAGGATAGCTGGGATAGCCGGAATGAAAGGAGCAGGGAGGGGGTGGACGGGATAGCCGGGATAGCGGGAAGCCAAAGGAGCAGGGAGCCAAAGGCGCAAGGAGGAGGTGGATGGGGATAGCCGGGAGCCAAAGGAGCGGGGAGGAGGTGGATGGGAGAGCCGGGATAGCCGGAGCTAAAGGCACACGGAGGATGTGGATGGGGATAGCCGGAGCCAAAGGCACACGGAGGATGTGGACGGGATAGCCGGGATAAGCTGGATGGGCGCTGTGGGTCCGTCCGAGGACCAAAGGAGCAGGGAGGAGGTGGATAGGGATAGCCGGGAGCCAAAGGAGCGGGGAGGAGGTGGATAGGGATAGCCGGGAGTCAAAGGCACACGGAGGCTGTGGACGGGAGAGCCGGGATGAGCTGGATGGGCGCAGCGGGGAAGGCTCGGCCGGAGCCGGCCCACCCCGCACCCTTCCTGGTGGAGCTTGTCCATCTCTTGCCCAATCTTTTACCCTTCTTCACCAGGGCAGCTTCCTCAAGGTCACAGAGAGAGTAAACCAGAACAATGTTTAGCTCTGGGGCCTCTTCAGTGCGTGTTGATGCTCTGGGTTTTAGCAAAAGCGCTAATTTCGGGTCAAAGCTGGCACAGCTGCTCAAGTGATTTAGAAAAGTAACTTTTAGAAGAGCCGTGTTGTTGAAACTTCTGTGCCAAAGCTTTGCACGCTGAGGTGAATCCAGTCCACACCTCCTTGCAGGTGGCTTTGTGTTCATTGCTTACCTGGACCTCGAAACTCAGCCTCAGCTTCCTGGGTGGCTGGGTGTCTGTGAATTTAAGGGAGCATTGTCACGCTGAGCCTTTGTCCTGAGCGGCCCTGTTTGTCCTGAGTTAAGTGACACTAACGTCTCCAGTGATTTTGAATGAGCCCAAGGAAGCAGCTTGGATTATTTGCATCATCTAGGTAAATACTAGGTGGGGAAAGAGGTGGATGTTGTGTGTGGCACAGATCAGTGACCTGGGAAAATGGCAAGTTGTGGCTTTTACCTGCAGGTGTAGATGTAGAGACAAAAGACAGGTGGGCTAAGATAAATGTTGGTGTTGAAGTAGGACTTCATGTGCTTTTTTGTCCTTCTTCCTTTCATTCTTAAACTGTTAAAATTTATTCTGGCTCATAGGACAGTCAACTTAGAGCAAATCTATCACAGTAGCCTAGCCTGAACTTGGTAATAAGTTGGAACTATGTTCCTGGATGTTGATGGGAAAACAAAGCAACACATTATTGTGGGATGCTGGTCAAAATATTTGTCTTGGAGTTGCCAGTCCTGAAGAGGTGGGCTTTTCCTCCTGTGCCAGTCCAGGGCTGGTCCACACTGAGTAGCTCCAGTGGCTCAGTGGTGCCCGTGCCCTGCAGCAGCTCTTCCCCCAGGCTTTCGTGTGTGCATCCTGAAACCCATTTCTGGCAACACGAGCCTCCCCATGGAGCGAATTCAAACCTCCTGCCAGCAAGATTTGCTTTTCACTCTTATCTGCCATAGACCTCTCAGAAGTGGTTTGCAGCTCCTCAGGACCTGTAGGTTAAAGGTTAAGAATCACTGACCTGGACAGGTATCTGAATAAATCTGGTCTGTTAACATTGCTGGGTTTTATCTTCCTGCAGTGTGGGTACCTAGTGCTACCTTATTCACATCACATTATTTGCAGCTCAGATATGGTGAACAAGTGTTCCTGAGAGGTTTATTTCCTTGCCAGCGACTTCCAGTGACGTAGACAGACACTTGAATTTAGCCAGAGGGTAATAATCAAATATGAAGATGATTAGCAAACATGCTTCTACCAGAAAGTTATTTACTTACACCTTGGAAGAAGGGCAAGGGCAGAACATGGGCTGTAGTGTAGGGGAAATAAGAATGCAAAGGCCAAGCTGGCTCTTGCTGCATCCTGCAGCTCCTCCTGTGATCTGGTTGTGGCTGCTGTGGTTTGCAGCTGCTGCCTGAACAACGGGTCCATCTCCTGCCGTGCCAGAGCCTCTGGTTTTCCTGGGCTCTTGGTCCTTTCTCATTCAGAAATGGCTGCTTTCACAGGGTCTTGTGCCACCCACCACCCTCTCGGTGAAATGAGAAAAAAGGAAAGAGCATTTCAGCCTCCTTCCTCACCCCACTGTTCCTAACAAAGCATGATGTACCTGTGACCAAGGCCGAGTTTGAAGTCAATATCTGTTTTCAGACAGATAATAATAATAATAATAAGACAATAATTTGTAGTATGAGTATGGCATCCTGTAACTTTTAAAAATATGACTGCTACCCTCAGAGATTTTCAATCCCTCCTTTTTTTTTTTGCACATGGAAGTAGATTTAATCTTGGTTTCCTGGCCTGGGGAATATTGCTGTGGACTTCAGTGAGCCACTGCTGATTGTGCTTATCAGGAGGCACTGTTTTTTAACACCTCTTGATAAGTAGTTGTACATTATAATGGCTTTTTAGGAGCTAATCCAGAATAGCTTCGAAACTATTTCTTAGGAGCTGTGAGAAGGACGAGGTTTTATTTGTGGCAGCTTTTCAGGTAAATATTTGCATAGTCTCACGGAGTTCTCTGAAATACTGGTGATGTTACTGCACAGGCACGCCGAGTAGAGCTCACCTCTGTTGAGAAGGTTTGTTGAAAGGCCAGGACCCTGATTTTGATGACTTTGAGACATTCAGTCAATTCATCTTTGATCCCTGCCAGAGGATAAATTGAGTAAATTAAAATCACTTTTTAAAAATCATCACATATAAAAATACTCAGTGCCACTTCCTGAAGAAGTGTCAAGGAAATCTCATTAATCAAATGGGATGAAAAATCTTATTTGGCTTCTTTCCTTCTTCATTCATAACTGGATATTTTTTAACTTTACTATACTTCATTTCCAAGTCATCATAATTTTTAGTACTGATTCTTAAACAGCAATCTTCACCACGTTTCTTTCCTCTTGTCCAGGTGACAAGGCAGGAGCTGTCCTGTGAAATTGCTCTGTGAAGAGATAATGAAAATTATCTGGAATCACCTCTTTGCTTGTTTTCCCTCTTTTTAAAAAATTATATTTCCCCACTAGCCTTCCCTCCAGACCATCATATCATGGAGTTATTGTGTTCACTGTTATGTTGCTGAAACTTTTAGGTGGTCATTGTGTTCACTGTTATGTTGCTGAAACTTCTAGGTGGTCATAAAGCAGCCAGAAATGAAAAAAAAAAAAAAAGAAATAATATTTCCTTTCCAGTATCATCAATGCCACAATATGTTGGCTTGCCCTTCTTTGAGGTTGAGCTTTGCACTGAAATGACTCCTTTGCTATCTCAGTGAGTTCGGTTGGTTTGCTTGGTACAGGGAATTTTTTGGCTGGGTTGCAGTGTGTTAGGTTCATGTAGAATGTTTGGATGCTTTTATGCTTCCTCCTTTTAGAAGATGAACTCGACTTGGTTCATTTGGGCTTTGACTCTTCTGTCGTCTTACATCTCTGTTTACATGTGCTTGCTTTTATGTAGGTCTATCCCTCCTAAACTAGTTTGTTGTTTTTTGTTTTTTGTTTTTTTTGTTCTGGGGTTTCTTTCTCAGTTGTTGATAGCCATCACAGGGCTCAGCAAACAGCTGATGTTGTTTCAGTTTCAGGAAATAGCACGAAACACCTATTGGAGCAATATGTAAATGCAGGAAGCAAGCTGTTGCCAGTGTAACTCTGCCTTCTTTGGCCAGTTGAATTCACAGTGTTGAATTAGGATATCTGGAGGTAATTATTCCATCCTATTGACCTGGGCATGGAAACAGCCTATAGGGATCTCTGTGTAAAAGCTTTGGAAACCAATGAACAGTTATGACTTGGTGTGTGCTGAGGAAGTCCTGTTATTTCTTGCATGGAGGGCCAGGCAAAGGCAGCAGGTCTGGTGTCATTACAAAATCCTGCTTAGACCTTCAGGGTTTCTTTGCCTTTCTTTCTGTCTGTTGCCTTTTTGGGATGTTGGTTCCTGGCCAGCAAAGGGCACAGGAGGTGTGAGGGGGCCGTGAGCTGATGCTGCTGTAATGAGGCAAAATCAGGGGCTCATTTTTGCCCCAAATTCACCAGAATTCAGGGAGGGGTTTAGGAGCACGTGGTGGTGAGGGCCATGTGCAGCTGAGCAGCACAGCTCTCCAGGGCACAGAGGGACTGTCACTGTGGTAGGGAGGAGGACCAGCATCTGGAGGGCAGAGAGTCTGGACAGTCCATTTTTGATTAAATAGGATGTTGTCAAATGAAGTACTGACCAACTGTGCTGCAACTTTTACTTAAAGACCTGATTTGCAGAAATCTGTATAAAAACATATTAAAAAATCCAAAAAGCTATTGGATTGAATTTATTTTGTATTAATCTAATATTTTTATTTTTTTATATTGTTTGGCTGTGTTCCTTTTTTGGTTTCATTTTTGACAAATTTACTGGAAATAGTGATGCATTTCTTTAATCTTAATGACCCATGATTAAGATAACATAACATTAAGATTAATACTCCTCAGGTATATGTAAGAAGCTGGATACTTCAAATAGCAGCTGCCAGCTGTGAGGCAACACATTTTGTTTTATTTGTCAGTGAACTGTGTTGTCAGTGGTGGCTTTTTAGTCTTTGTCTCTTCTCTCATTAGAAATGGGCTTTTTTCTTGTACTTTGAGTTATGAAAGTCCTTTGAGTTATGAAAGTTATGAAAGTTTTGGACCTTCTGTGTTGCTGGAGGTCTAAATGCTGGTTCTGCTCCATCCATAATGGAGTTTTTGAAATTTAGGGGCAGGACTGATGGGTCCCTTTCATTATTTGGGTGCACTTTTTCCAGCGCTGGAAGGTGTGGAGCCAACCCTCAAGCCTCTGGTGTACCCTGTGGTCCCTTGGATCCTGCTCTGGTGGGGAACTCCATCCCAGCTCCCTTGCCTGGGACCTCCAGCTCCCTTTAGAAGACTCCTGAAGTTTGTTTTTCCAGTTGCCCCCAGTAAAGTGTTACCACAGCTCAGCAGACCTCAGGAGGAATGAGGGCAGTGAGAGGGAGGGACAGTTGTGCATTCCCACTGAGCTCTCTGCACCATCAGAGTGGGTTTATGCCACTTTAAAATGGTCTATTTAAATTTGTCTGATGGGTGAGGTGAGTTAGAGGCCAAAGAATTGGACTGAGATAGGGCAGACCAGTCCCTTCTAGCTCTCTAGTTGTTGGGGAGTGTTTGACTGGTCACTTTGCTTCTCCATGACCCAGCTTCCTTATCTGAGAAGTTGTCACAGTTCCCTTGATGTGTTTGTAAAACATTTTGAAGTGTGGGAGTGATGTGAGCTTAGGAAAACCAGATTATGTCATTATTGGATGCTACAGATTGATTTTTGCCTGGAACATTTGCAGAGGTGACAGGAGTTCAGTGATTTTGGTTTCCTGCAGTTTTAAAACACTGGCAAATGTGTACATGTAATACCATGGAAGTCTCTATTTACCCGTGAGTTCCTGTATTTTATAACAGGGAAAGTGTAATTAATCAGAAGCTGGATAGGAAAAAGATTAACAAGCACTAAATTGGGAATGATGGTGGAAAACCAGCTAAGCAAGAGAGACATTTTTTCCTGAGGTCATAAAAAAACCCAAACCAAACCAAACAAAAAAAACCCCAAAAAAACCAACAAAAAAAACCCCAAAAAAACCAACAAAAAAAACCCCAAAAAAACCAACAAAAAAAACCCCAAAAAAACCAACAAAAAAAACCCCAAAAAAACCAACAAAAAAAACCCCAAACAAAAAAACAAAACCAAAAACAACAACAAAAAAAACCAAACCCGAAACCACTCCCAGAAACTCCCAAAAAAGAGTGAAGAACACTCTTCTCTGTTAATTTGCAGAGCCTTTCAAATGGTAATGTGAAAAAATCTGGGATTTTTTTTTTGGTCGCAGTACCTGTTGGCTTCCCTCAGAATCACCACTTCTCTCTGCTATCACTAAACTTCCTAAGCTTTTTCTTCCTTCTCCCTTTTAGAGAACAAGGAACAGAAATACCCTCCTGTGATTTATTTGTCCCTAAGTCTGGGCAGAGCTGCACTTCCCTGCTGCTGTGAAGAGCTGGGCAAGGATGGATGGGACATAAAGCAAAGCAGAAGTCCTGGAGCCTTAGTCACCAGTCTGATGGACTTTCAGTAAGTATGAGTAAGGCTCATTTCTCACCTGCCTGCCACACAAATAAGTGCAGTGCTGCATTATTTACATGTTTGCTAGCACTGATAAGCAAATACCAGCATCGGCCTTCCTGAAGTGTCACAAAGAATTGGCACGCTTGAGGGGCTGAGCAGCTGTTGAAATCTGCTTCAGTGACATCTGCAGTTCAGTTTTGGGTGAGATGATGCCTTGACAGAGGTTCTGAAAAACAACCCATTACTTTGGGATGAATTATGTTGTGTCTTTACACAGCTGCAGTGTGCAGGGGTTTGCTCTGCAAGGTAGAGAAAAGTATTTCTCAGTGCAGGACTGAGGCACTTTCTAGGCTTTTTTTTTTCTTGTAGAGCAACATGAGAGGACTCAGTAGACAGCAGCATTTATTAGAATGATTGCTTGTGGAGCTGTAGAGCTGCCTGTTTTAGATCTGCACCAGCAAACATTTTTGTATTTCTAGTGTCTGTGGCAATCAGTGGTTTTGCTCAACGTTAACGTTTAACTTTAAATAAACTGCTGGATGCTGGAAACATTCAGTGCAGACCCTCTCTTTTACCCTGTTTGCAAAACTTTCAGTATTGCTGTGGCACAGTTCCCCTGCTGTGCTTCTCTCCCTGTTTTTGGTGCAGTGACTACAACACACAGCCAAGAAACCAATGCTTTAGAACACGTAAGAGTGAAAAAAAACGTGGCCTGTGGGGGCTGCAGGTATCATGAATTGGTTGAATTTGTATTTCCTGGTTCTTTGCTGGTTTCTGTGTCATAAACCTCAGAGACACTTGAGTAAGTGTTGAGAGAGGGCCTGAGCATGGCACTGACACCGTGTGGGTCTCTGCCAGGATATTCTCTGACTCTGGTCCTGCCAGGACAGTGAGCACTGACTTGACCTTCTCAGTTTGTGCTGCCCTCGTGCTAATGAATAGTTGCCACTGTATAATCCTCAGGCTTGGATTGAGAGGCTGCTGAGATCTGATTTCATGCTGCACCTTAATTTGTACCCTCTCTTCAAATACTTCCGCTTGTTGGTTTTTTGTTTGTTTGTTTGGTATTTTTTTAATTTTTTAAAATTTATTTATTTGTTTTATTTCCCCCCTCTCTGCAAATCTGGCCCTTTTCCAAAGGGAAAACTGACAAGAAAGCTGGACAAAGCCTCCAGTTGTGATTTTCTTCTTTGTTTGTTTGTATAGGTTCACACTTTACTCCCCAACACTTGAATTGTTTCTGTACTGTTGACAAAGGAAAAATGACCTCTACTCTAGTAAGTAAACAAAACATTCACAATATTCCTGTCTGATTTTTTTCTTTTAATTTGGTTTTATTCCTTTACACGTAACAATCCATGGAGTGATGTCTTGTTTAACAAGCCTTTTGAAACATGGACTATTTGTTGTGTTTCCTTTTTGGCAAAAAGGGGAAAAGGTGCTGTGAGGCAGGTATAAGAGCCTCGAATTAACCAACATTTCAAGTGCTCAGATACTTTTAGGGGAGATTTATGTTTTTGAGCACATGCTTTTGATCTATTTAAGCTTGTTTTGGTGGGATAGGTTAGAATGGCTTATAACTAGTTCTTAAAGCTCTTCCAGGATAAATATTCCTGTTGCAGGCCCGCATGTGTCAGAAATAGCTTAGGTGTACCTGGTGTTGTCACAGCACGAAATGGGGCAGTAAGCATTTATCCTGGGCCTGGACAAAGGCTGCTCCTTGTCAGCATTTCTTTCTGTGCTGGCGCTGTCCTTGCTGTTTATTTCTACCCTGTCAGACGTCCCAGGGCAAGCATTTGTGCAAACAGCTTGCAAGGGCTGGGCTCAAGAATCCTTCTTAGGCTGGGCTGCTATGGAAAGCAAGATCAGGAGACTGGTTTTGTCAGGGGATTGCCAGCCCCACTCTGTGTCATTTTTCTTATTCAAACCACAAGGTTTTGGGCATGTTCTGTGAACCTCTCTCTCTGTGTGCACTGGAGCCCCTAGTAAGTGCTCTGTGTGCTCGGGGTGCCTATTTTGGAGTAGGATGTGAGATTTTTGTCCTGCTGCCAGCCTTGTTTCTCACCCTCTGCTGTCCCCTCCCTCCCCTCAGGGACCGCCGCCGCCGTACTACGAGAACCGGGGCTTCCAGCCAGAGCCCCCCTTCGCTGCCAGGCAGGCAGCAGGTGCTCCCCCTTACCCACACCAGCTCTTCTCCACCAGCCCTCCCTCCGTGCCAAGCTACATCCCAAGGGTTGCCACCCACCAGTCCACCAGGCCGGCAGCGCCCCCGCCCAGGAGAACCTGTGCAGCCAGTAAGTTTTTTGGGGGGTTTTCCTCCTGGTTTTGGAGCTGAGATGTGTCAAAGTAAGAGAAGAAAGGAAAGAGACCTTCCCTTCCAGGTTGTGTGTTGAAGGAGCCGCTTCCTTCACGCCCTTCTTCCTGTCATGAAGAAGGGATGGCTGGCTGGGCTGCTGGGGAAGCTGGGGGCTTTGGGAGGAAGGATGGTGGAATAGGGAAAATCTGGCTAAAAATGACTGATTTTCATGTCAAATAGATAGTGCTGGTGGGTGGAAATGACTGGTGGGTGGAAATAACTTTACTTCTGAACCTAATTTCTTTTCTCCTCCTTGCTTTCACTTCAGGTTTAAGGAAAACCATAATAATAATATTATCTATATTAATAGTAATTTGTTGTGCAATTGCTGCTTTCTTCATCTGGTATTTTGGTAAGTTTTTTTATTTTTCTTCTTCTTTTTTTTTTTTTTAAGAAAAGATGTATTAAACTTTTCAAGTTAGATATATCCATTCTCATTTTATGCTTTATTCTGAATTAAGGACAGAAAAGTCTTTGTTCCTTTTCTCCTAAGAGATGAACTAATGTTGCTTCTTAATGGCTCAGTTTTGTTTGTGGATGGAGCTTTTTTTTTCTTCTTTCTTTTTAATGCTGCTGTTACTTTCCAAATTCGAGCTTCACTTAATTTCAGGTGAAGGGAGGGGATTGCAATAAGTGTGCAAACCTTAACTGCAGGAGTGTAAATGGTCAAGATGCGTTTTGTTTTGCTAAAATGGGATCTCCCTTGGAGCAGAAGTCATCTACCTCCATTTATTTGTTTCTGTGGGGCTTCTGTGTAAACATTGCATAAGCCCAGCCTGTCTCAGCACTCTAAGTTGTACCATGGATGTTTGCTTTAGAAATCATCCCCAGCTGGGGTGACTGAGCTCTGAAGCAGGGCTGGATGAATTCTGTTCAACTCAGGTGAAGTTTGCCTTGTGCTGTCTTAATTTCCCTTTCAATGAAAGCTGCTTTGCTAAAAAAGCAGGAAACTAAAAATCTGATGGTTTTAGGAGCTTCTCCTTTCCATTCTGCTCAGGAGAAGAGAAGGAGAGATCTAGTGGAAGGTGTCCCTGCTCGTTGCATTGGGGTTGGGCTAAAATGACATTTAAAGACCCCTTCCTAACTATTCTGTCATTTTAAGAACGTTCATGTAGAACTATTAGGATGGCACTTTGTGTTCTTAGGGGCATTTTGTTTGGACTCATTTTGATTTAAGGAGGGTGAGTGTAATCTTGTTTTAAATGAGAGCAAAAGTACATAATTGAGGCCCTCGCTCTCTTCCTCCTTTTCCATGTGCTGACGCTTTGAAAAGCTGACTCCTTTCTGACAACTTAATGGTGCCTGATTATTCAGGGGAGGCCAGTGGCCAAAACCCAATCAGCAGCATCAGAGACTTGATCTGTGCAAAGGACAGAGCAATCCATCTCTGCTGTGGCAGGCTGGGTCCCTCCCACCTCCGCGTCTAAGAGCCGCTTCCAGCGTTTTGCTCCATCAAAGTGGGAAACTCTTTGAGAGCTGGGCTGATGTGCAGCCTCGTGGCTGTGCTTCTGTCTCCCTGCAGTAGAGAATCACTGTCTCAGCTCCCTGATCGAGTGTGGATCCTCAGGGATGTGCATGCCCCCCTCGCAGTGGTGTGACGGAGTGAGCGACTGCCCCAACGGGGAGGACGAGACCCGCTGTGGTGAGTGACAGCAGCCAAGGGCTGGGGGGACACTGCATCAACTGCAGGAGCCTGGGAGCAGACTGCCCTGCACAGAGCTTGCCTAGGCTGCAACAAGGCTGTTTTAGCCTAAAGTCCGTCTTTAAAATGGTTTAGGATGTGTGTTATGTATAGATATTCGGTTTGTTTCCAGCCTGATAGAAAAGCTGAAATAAAATGCTCAGGGGTTTGAGCTGCCTTGACTTTTAGTCAGTTTTTTAAATCTCACCTTTTAATTTGAGTGGTGTTTGTGCAGAACTGGATCTAGAATTGTCTCTGGATGGAAGTAGTCAGTGGTGACTTCTCAGTAAGCTTCAGGTGACAACAAACCTGGTGGCATTCAGTCAGGCTTGTGTTTATCCGTGTATTTTGTATTCCTTGTTCTCCCCCTAGTTCTTCAACTACTTCATCACTCATTTGTGTAAGAAAGCCTGGCCTAATTATTGCTTTGAACTGAAAAGATGCCAAGGGAAGCTTTAGAGCTGAAGGTAGAAGGTGGAAACATTGATTTATCCATTCCAGAGGTTTGGCATCTTGTATTGTGCCAGTGCCACACTGGAAACTCCAGCTGTGCTTTAAATTCCCTCTACAAACTTTTATTCAGCACATTCTCATGCAGGGTTAGCATTTGCTGGCAGCTGTTCCACTCCATTTGGTTGAATAATGGCATCTTGGAGAAGCCTGTTTCAATCTGTTCTTTTGCTTGAACTATTTTTTATTAAATTCTTGTGCAAGCAAATACATAATGGGACGTGGAATGTCAGAGCTAATTGCTCCTGGTTACATTCGTGCTTTACAGAGCACTTCTCTGAAGAAATTTGGTGTATTAAGAGATAATATAATATATTAATAATAAGAGATATTAATAAGATAATATGATATATTTTTCAATAGATCATTTTATTTATACATATACTATATTAAGAAAGATATGGTTGCATAAAGAAAGGATCAGGAAATTTTCATTATTGCAATCTTCCTCAGTAGTAGAATATAACAGAAATTTTAGCATAAAAGCTGAAATGAAAGGATGAATGCTTTTGTTCAAAAGGATGAACCCTTTTGAACCTATTTTGTGCATCTGCATTTTAAAACTGGTGGTTCTTATAAATTGCCTTACATGAAAAGAAATAAGTCATTGCCATATTTCTGTCTACTGGCTATTTACTCAGAATTTGAGAAGGGAGCATTAAATTAACATCATTCATACATGAAATGGATATTATAGGTAACTACTTCCAAGCACAAAGCTTGTAAGAGCAGTAATAATAGCATGTGGTGTTCTTAGTTTCCTTTTTTTTTTTTTCCTTTTTCCCTTTCTTCCTTTTCTGGCAGTTAGACTTTTTGGACCAAATTTTATTCTGGAAGTTTACTCACCTGTCAGCAAATCCTGGTATCCTGTTTGCCACGATGACTGGAATGATGATTATGGGAAGGTTGCCTGCAAAGACATGGGCTACAGCGTGTAAGTGCAACCTCTGTCAGCCTCTGCTCAGAAAAAGAAAGGTTGAGATTTCCCTCTTGCCATTTTTAATGTGTCATTTAATTGTGCCATTTTTAATGACTTAGCTGTGAAAATGTGCTGGCAAAGGCATCTCTTAATTTCGCCCTGTTACATGAGGTGCATGCATATCAGATAAAAATATTATTTTAACCCAGTGACTGAAGTGGAACTTGACAGATGTTTGAGGAATCTGAGACTCTGGCTGGGCTGCACCACCAGGGTTCCAGGTTCACAACAATAAAAATAAATATAGTAAACAAAAACAAAGATTTCTAGTGCTGTCATGTCAGAAGCTCTGGCTTGGCACATTGTTATCACTGGTTTGAAAACTGAAACCACTGCTGGGTTTTATGGTTTTATGGTGGGCTTTCTGTTTTGCAGGGATACATATTTCTGCAGTCGTGGGGTGGCACCTGAAGTCAGCTTTAAGAGCTACATGAAGCTGAACACAAGTGCTGGGAATATTGACTTGTACAAAAAGCTGTACAGCAGGTATCTTTGTTTAATAAAAGCCTCTCTCCTTTCATCCAGGCTCTCTCCAGATGCTGGAAGAGGTGCAGCTTCTGCCTGCAGCACAATGCAAGCACATCTTCTAGTGGGGATTGTTGGAGGGAAAGAGACTTTGCTTTTAGTCTGATTGCAGCAACTGTTCTTCCCTCTTTCTAAAAACACAGCTGTCATTTTTCCATCCTCCTTGTCCTCTTCTGAAAGAAAAAACATCTCATCCTCTGTGCTGTCTAGAAGGTTGCCATGTCAAAGGTGTTTTTTTAAGGCTCTCTGACCATCAGCAGGAGTTTTTGTGTGGTCACAAAAGCTACAAGCTGCAACACATTCACAGCAGCTGGCACAGCCTTTTTTTCAGCCACATGAACACACAGCATGCAAAAATGGATCTTCACTGTGGAATGCATAATTTTTATTATCATTAAACAGCTCCAAAGTGTCCAGTGTCAAAGCCTGTAGACTGCTGTGCCTGCAAACTTCCTGCAGCTCCTTTGTTTAGTTTTTCTGCAATGTCTTCCTAAATCAGTTCCACTTTCTCTCTTCATCTTGCTTCTCAGTAGGCTTTCAAACCTTTTGTGCTCATGCCTGCAGTCTCCCACAGGACAGTTTTGGTGAATGCAAGGCATGGTGGAGGCAGATGGTGAAGAAAGGAGGGAACCCTCTGCAGGAAGAGGAGGCTGAAGGCAGGACATGTAGCTGGAAAGGCTAGAAAGCAGCTGGAGGGTGGACTTTGCTCACCATTTCCTTCACTGAGTGCCTAAGATGCTGTTTGGTGTTTTTATTTCTCCTGCAGTGGTTCCTGTGCCTCAGGAAAGGTGGTTTCTCTGCGCTGCATAGGTAACTCACTGGCTTTTGCAAACTTCTGCTCCTTCATGCTTTGAAATGCTCTGGCTGCCTGAGGCATTAATTGCTGTTTTTGCATGAGCAAATTATTTAACTCTGGTTCCCAAATGATGCAGTTTTAGGAGAGGGTGGGAGAGGAGATAAGGTATACAGTGGATCCCCAGCTGCATTTGTCTTTGCTGCCACTGGTTCCTTTAAATGGCTTGTGGTGGAGCTCCATATCTGTCCCCCAGCAGCTGTGTTGGGATGTTTCTGGCACATTTGCTCTCCAAGGTTCAGCACTTGGGTGGGCAGTGCCTTCTTGATGGTGATTCCTGTCCCGAGGAGTTTCTTGGCTGTTCGCTGCTTTGTTGCACAGCACAGAGGTGTCTGAATCACCAGAGACTCCTGAAAGGTGGGAAGAGTTTATGGTGAACCAAGGGCAGCAGATGCCATTTGGGGTTTGCCATTTAACGGGGGTCTGGGCAATGGCAGACTTGGGATTTGGTGTCAGGACAGGGGTGTGCCCGACAAGGTGTGTGCACCCCATGCCAGGCTTCCAGCCCATAGAGCCCAGCCCAGCCCCAGCAGCTCAGCTGAGCCCTGGCCCCCAGTGCCACATCCAGGCTTTGTTAAACACCCCCAGGGATGGGGACTGCACCCCCTCCCCGGGCAGCAATTCCAGAGCTTTATCCCCTTGCTGGAAAAACTCTTTGCTGCTCTGCAGCCTGGATTCCCTGGGTGCAGTGCAGGCTGTGAGCTCTGGCTGTGGCAGTGCTGCTGCAGCCAGAGCCCAGCCCCAGCTGAGCACAGGCACCTTCCAGGAGCTGGGCAGGGTGAGGAGGGCACCCCTGAGTCTCCTTTTCTGCAGGGGAGCACCCCCAGCTCCCTCAGGGCTCCTCTCAGGGTTTGTGTTCCCAGCCCCTCTCCAGCCTCGCTGCCCCTCTGGGTGTGCTCAGTGTCCCAAGGTCCTTCCCAAGCTGAGGGGCCAGAGCTGGGCACAGCACTCCAGGTGTGACCCCAGTGCAGGGACAGTGTCCTCCCTGCTCCTGCTGCCACTCCATTCCTGATCCAGGCCAGGAGCCCTTGGCCTTCTTGGCCACCAGGGCACTCTGCTGGCTCACGGTCACTCAGCTGTCACCAGTACCCCCAGGTCCCTTTCTGCTTGGGTCTCTCCAGCCACACCGTCCCCAGCCCAGAGCACTGCAGGGGGTTATTGTGGCCAAAATGCAGGACTCTGCACTTGGATTTATTAAACCTCATCCTGTTTGCCTTTCTTCAAGCTGAAATTCAAAAATTTATTCAATTCTCCCCACTTTCTCCCTTAAAACCAAATTTCTTCCCCAGCTGGCATGCAGGTGCTCAGTGCAGTGTTTTGTCTATATTGTAAATTTGAAGTACTAAGGGAAGATTGGTTCTGGAGGAGGCTGGCTGCAGTTCATCTGTCTGCTTTCTACAGGAAGCCTTATTTTATATTTTGTCTCATTTACAAAATGGCATGGGTGATATTGAGCACAGATACCCAACCAATTTAAGATGTAAACTCAAGGCACCAAATTTAATGCCAGCCAGCACAATGTTTCCCTGAACATGTTGAATTACACTGTGAGCAATCCTAAAGGGAAACCCCCCCCCAAATTCTCAAATATCACACTGCTGTAGATATGATCAATTTAAAGATGCCTGTGCCATTTATTTCTTCATATCTTTTTGCCACAGGGTAGTAAAGTCCAAGTCAGTATTAAATACAGATTTATATCTATCCAAGGAGCACTTTATGTAGTCATCAAGAAGAAAAATAGCTGGTGCTTTGTACATTTTTAACCTATAAAAGAGAGTTGAGGGTTCTATGGTACATCAGAAAGGGCAAGAATTTGTTTAAAAGGTGGCTGCTTCTGTTGGAGGGAAAACCCACAGAGCAAAAACATTTTTAATGGTTGGTTGGCTGGATCACAGTTTGAGGCTGAGGCAAGGAAGAATATTTGTCCTTAACCTTGAGAAAGGAATGCAAGTGTTGATTTCTACCTGGAGATCTTATCCCCCCTTTGTTGTCTGGGTTTGAGCTCTGTAGTGTGCAAAAGCTTTGGGAATGGCAACCAAGCTGCAGCTGGCACAAACCTGGTTTTCAGCCTGATCTGGGTTTTTTTGGAGGTGGGGTGACTTGCAGGCACAACTGCCTTGGCACTTCTCATGGAGGGAGTTTTAACACTTGTGGCAAGTTTTCTATTAAGCTTTTGTAAACTGTGCTGGAGCCCAAGAGGCTGCTTAAATAGCATGCTTAACATTAAAAAAAAAATCCACCAAAACCCAAAACCAGCCTAAAAAAAACCCCTGGTGTTTTCAAGATAGTGAAATTCTTTCACTAGATCATGTTTTTACAAATTCTGGCTTCTGCTGATACCACTGACATGTGAGACTTCAGAAATACCTGCCTGATCCCTCAGTCATGGAAATCAAAAGGCTTCAGTGTTGCAGTCTCAGACTTAATTTGTTGTGCTGAGTGATTAAGGGGGTGGACAGTGATACTTAACCTACTGCAAAGATTTTCTTTTAATATATTTTTGGAACTAGAGCCAAGCTTTTCTCCAGTTACATGTCTGGCAATTTGTTTGTCTTGTTCTTCAGAAATGGTAGTTAAATGCATGTGCATTTTTGGTCACACAAACATTTGACTACAACTCCTGAAGATGGTTTTTTGAAGGTCCTAATCCCTGTCTTGTCACCACAGAAGAAAACCTTCAGACCTTTTCTTTGTTCTGTAGGCGACTGTCTGACCCGTACAGCTGGAGGGTTTATGCTGGGATTCTGAATCAGGATGAGATGCTCTTCAGAAGTGGATACAAAGTGCAGTTGATAATTTCCCACCCAGGTTATGACACGGACTCTAAAGACAATGATGTTGCCCTTATGAAGCTGGAGACACCACTGAGTTTTACTGGTAGGTATTCTGCTCCTCTTGAGGGAAAAATCCAGTGGGCACACCTTTTAAAACTTCTGAATTTCATCAAGCAATCCTTGTAGACACTTACTGGAAGAGCACAAAATGACCCTAGAGACAGAGGGCACAGCCTCTGATTTCCTAAGCAGGATTTATTTAAATCTATTACATGGATTGGGGGGTTGGGCTTATGTCAGTAATATGTTTTTACCTGAAGAGCACAAAATGACCCTAGAGACAGAGGGCACAGCCTCTGATTTCCTAAGCAGGATTTATTTAAATCTATTACATGGATAGGGGGGGTTGGGCTCATGTCAGTAATAGATTTTTACCACAGAATGCTCTGTGGTGCTTCAGTTTAGCATCATAGAGCATTCTGAGGTAAAAATATATTATTACACCACTGCTGTATGTGCAGACAGCTACAGGTGCAGTGCTGGAGCAGCTGATTAAATCCCAACTCAGGTCAAATGATGATCAAAAAACCCCTCAGAACTCAACATTACAAGAAGGTCCTTTCATAAAAGCAGATGTAGGTTGTTTGTAAGGAACCAGTACAAAATAGAGAACAAGCCATTATTTAAACTTGGAGTGCTTTTTGTGTACAGGCCCTTTGTGTTTCAGTGCATCAGTTTAAAGCTACCAGGAGTAATCTGAAAGGGATTTTCTGCTGCTGAGAGCAGGGAAATTGTCTGTTTCCCAGCTTTTTGTGTTGCAAACTTCTTGTCTATATCAGTACTGAATCCTGCTTGTCTTGTGATATTTTCAGCAGATTTTTGCAAAGAAAATGCAGAGCTGTAGCTTTCAGAATTTTTTCTTCTACTTCTGCTGCTCAGGAGAGCTGGTGTTAATTGTTCTGTTTAACCTGATGAATGAAGGTAGAACCATTAACTGCTTGTCCCTCACTTTGAGGGGACGATGAGGGAGATTTGAGGGGAAGATGAAGGAGATTTGAGGGGAAGATGAAGGAGATTTGAGGGGAAGATGAAGGAGATTTGAGGGGAAGATGAAGGAGATTTGAGGTGAAGATCAGGTACCCTCAGCTGGTAAACTTTCTGCTGCTTCCTGCATTGTCTGCCTGCAAGGAATGCAAAGTACAGAGGGAATGCATGGTGTGTAAGTGGTGGCCATTTAAATTTACTTGGAGTTCTGTCTGAAAATCTGTTTTCTGTGTGTTTTACAGAAACTGTGAAGCCAGTTTGTTTGCCCAATCCAGGAATGATGTTCCAGCCTAACCAGCAGTGCTGGATATCAGGGTGGGGAGCAGAGTACCAAGGAGGTAAAAAGTGCTCCTGGAGTATTTTGGTCTGTCACATAAACTAGTCCTTTTCATCCTAAGAATGTTGTTGCATGGGCTGATGAGGGAGTTTGAATTAGATAAGTTTATACATTATTTTTTCACCCGTTTTACAGCCCCCAATATTTACCCAGGGCATTCTGTCTCAAAGCAAGTTTGGCATTCAGCAGACTGCAAAGGGACCCTCAAATCAGTTCTGGGGGCCAGAAACACCCACCCAGGAGACAATTCTGTGTCCCTGCTGGCAGGGCCACCTCTCCTGCAGCAAGGGTTGCTGCGTGCCAGGCGTGTCCTGGGGATGTGGGAAAGGGCAGGAGCTGCTCCTTTCCACCATCTCAGGCTGAAAGAGAATGATCCAAGTAAATTTGCAAGACTGGAAAGAGGAAAGGGAGGGAAGGAGTTTTTTTGGTATAAGAAAGGTGCTGGGGAGGACATCTTGTAGATTTCTTACATCTTAAATTTCCATCCTGCTGCTTCTAGGAAGTTTATTTCATCTTGGCTGTTGGGATTTTTTGTAACAGCAAAGTGATGTGATGCTGATTCTGGTTTTGTCCTTGCACGTTTGTGCATATCCCAATTCTAGGTAAAACATCAAATAACTTGAATTTCGTTGCGGTGCCCCTAATAGAACGTTCGAGGTGTAATGCTGTTTATATCTACAATGGCATGATTCTGCCTACAATGATCTGTGCTGGAGACCTAGAAGGGGGGATTGATTCCTGTCAGGTAATTATTCCTCATTAATAGCTAATAATTGTATAAAAGATGAAATTATCTGTTTATTTTTGTGGCCATGCTAGTAGGTTTTCTTTCTCCTTTCCTTTCCTTTCCTTTCCTTTCCTTTCCTTTCCTTTCCTTTCCTTTCCTTTCCTTTCCTTTCCTTTCCTTTCCTTTCCTTTCCTTTCCTTTCCTTTCCTTTCCTTTCCTTTCCTTTCCTTTCCTTTCCTTTCCTTTCCTTTCCTTTCCTTTCACAATAAATCCTATGCCCCCAAAAAATTAAAAATTTGCATTTCATGTGGTTGGCCTTCTGGTTCCTTTGCTGGTGCATCCCTTTAAAGAGAAGAGCTTTTGTTTCATCACCTGAATGGCTGCCAGTGCTGAGTTCTCACTAAATTCCCAAGGAGGGTGAGGCTCCTTTTTAATGCTTCAAGGATGGTTTGTTACCTGGTACTTGGAAGTGATCAAATGCTCCTCATAACCACTGCATTATTATCATTATTATATTATTAATCACGGTGTTGTGCTTCTGAACAATAAAGCCAATAATGCCAATCTTATTTAGAGGGCTCTGGGCAAATTATTTTCATCCCTATTGGAAGCAGACATCATTTAACACCAAAATTGCCACCATATCTTGTCTTAGTGACTCCCTAAATGGCAGGTCAGTTTATATTGAAACTAAAGCTGTGTTCCTGGAGGAAATGGGTCGTGCTTTTCCTGGTGGCTGTGTCACTAACAAGGTGCTTGTGTCCCCTGCAGGGTGACAGTGGAGGTCCTCTGGTGACTTACCACCACTCTGTGTGGTGGCTGGTTGGAGACACCAGCTGGGGCACTGGCTGTGCCACTCCCAACAAGCCTGGAGTGTATGGAAACATGACTGTGTTTACAGACTGGATTTATAAAAATATGCAGGTAAAATATTCGGAATTTTTCCTTAAATTTTAAGGCCCCACATCCTGAAATGTGGTTTTACTTAAAAAAAAAAGTTAATAAAAAAATGTGACTTGCATGGTAACTAAGCTGTTTTGTTGGGAAGCATCCAAGTGATTAAGGCAGAACCTGAACCTTTGTTTTCTGCTTTGTTTTGTCTTTTGAACAGGCAAACAGATGACAACACTCTCACTGCTAATCGATGTTCCTGAGGACAAGAATGAATGAAGCCATGGGGGCCTGGGATATTTATTCGCTTTGTGGTTGATTTTATTTTTCCTCTTTGATTTTTCTTTTTAAAAGCAACATGAAGGATTGCACACTTGGTTCTGTGCTGGCTACAGTGACAGATCTTAATCAGTGAAGGATTATCACAATGAGCACCTTTCTTCTCCTTGTGGTGCCTGGCAGAGCCATTCTGTCAACTGCTTGCTGAAATGTCTCTCTTTTGTTGAGTAACTTTCACTTGATGATCAGGTTTATAATGACAATTTCAATCACAATTTGATTTCAGATTTTCGTAGCAGGATGCTGAGACAGCTGGTTTAGTAGTTTTTAAATTAAATGTTAAGTAATGTGAATGTTGAATCTCCGAGCTGCTGGTTGGCAATTTAAAAAGAAATTAATGTTTTTTGTAGTATAGAATTACAAAATGGTTTGGGTTGGAAGGGACCTTAAGGATCAACCACTTCCAACCCCGCTGCCAAGGGCAGGGACACCTTCCACTATTCCAGGTTGCTTAGAGCCCCATCCAAACTGGCATTAAACACTTCCAGGGCTGGACCATCCTCAACTTCCCTGGGCAACCTGTTCCAGTGCCTCACCCCCCTCACAGGGAAGAATTTCTTCCTAAAATCTAATGTAAATGTGCCCTCTTTCGTTCTGATGTCACTACCCCTTGTGCTCTCACTCCATGTCTTTGTCCAAAGTCCCTCTCCAGCTCTCTTGTAGGCTCATTAGGGTCTGGAAAAGGTGGTGAGGTTTCCCCAGAGCCTTCTGGAGGCTGAACAACCCCAGCTCTCCCAGCCTGTCTCCACAGCAGAGGTGCTCCAGCCCTTGGGACACCTTTGTGGCCTCCTCTGGACTCGTTCCAGCAGCTCCATGCTGGGGATCCCAGAGCTGGATGCAGTATTCCAGGTGGGGCCTCAGGAGAGTAGAGGGTGAGGGATATATATATATATATATATGAAGGGAATTTTTCATGCACTACAATACAGGCACAGAAAATAATTTAAAAAAAAATACACTCTCTATTCAGGTAGTTAAAAATCCTCAGGATCTCAACACAGCCGTCAGTCAAAGTCAGACTGGTGCAGTCTGGCTGCCTCAGACCTTACCAAAATGTGTCTTAAGCTGCTCTGAACCCAAAACGGACGATGTGGGATTTGGACAGGGATGCCCTGGACAGGGATGCCCCAGGCAGGGATGCCCCAGAGCTGCAGCAGGAGCAGTCTCAGTGCTGAGATCCCTGGCTGAGCACATTAAAAGCGATTCTGGACCTGCTGTGGAAGGGCAGAGGTGTCCAGGCAGGCTGTGCTGCACCTCGAGCTGCACACACACACACACAGAGGGACTGGATGTTTTGTACAAGGAAACACAAAGCTGCGTTTCTGCAGGACGAGATGAACTACCTCATTTGTTAAATTTGGCTTCTGATTCCTTAGAGCTCTCCTTTATGTATCCACCTGTATGTTTTTAGCAAAATGTAATTTGTATCCGAGTGCCACCCGACTGAGGATTTTGAAAATAATTTATAATCGTGGTAGAGGATCAAAAAGCCATATCAAGTCACTTTGTTAAGAAGGATAAATCTTTATTGAATGAAATGACTCTACTAGTCTTGTTTTCTCTTTTGGTACTGAAATGCAATTATTTTACGTGTAAACACTGCACCAAATAAATTGGGGTTTTTTTCTTTTTTTTTTTTTTTACAAATAGTTTTCCTTAGTTGTGCTTTATATCTGTTCACTTGGATTTTGTTTTTGAAAGCAGTTGCTGGATTCAGTGTATGAAGTGCTTTGAGAGTCTGATTAAAAAACCAAAACCAATAACAAACAAACGGGAAAAAAAAAGGGAGAAAAAAAAAAAAAAGGGGGGAAAAAAAAAAAAAAAGAAAAAAAAAAAAAAAAAGAAAAGAAAAACAAGAGGGTGATCCAAGAGATTATTTTAATTCCAACATTTCAGGTCCTTGAACAAACCCAGAGAAATAGAGCAGGATGTCCAGGAATGCTGAGTGTTTTTGGTGGCTGGGTCTGATGAAATCACTCTGACTTAATTGAATTAAATTAGAAAGTTTAGCTTGCAGGCAGTGGCTCGAGGGAGTCACACCCTGTTCTGTCATTCCCCTCCTGGTGCCTGGAGCAATGTGTCCTTGTCTCTCCTCTCCAGGTGTCAGATGGGTGTTTGCAATAGCCCTTGTGCACCAAGTGCACCCTGGGGGATGGGGGGGATACCATGAAATAACCAACCAGTTTAAAGTACTGTCAAAACAGAAATTAAAAAATTAAGTTGTTACAGGTATGAGACACTTTTGCTGTGGCCTCTTGCAGCACTGCAAGTCACTAATAGCAAAATAATGTACTGGGAGAAAGGGGAAACTGGCTGCAGTTTCATGGATGTTGGGGTGAATGCTGTACCAAAAGTCACTTTTTGGTCATTTTTTGACCAAAAGTCAGGCACCAGATGCAGTTCCATGCCACAGGGGCAAACCCTTCATGTCATACCTAGCCTGAGGAGAAGGCTTCTCTTCTAAGAAACTTGGAAATTATTACATCACACACTCGTATAAACACAATTTTTTTTCTAGCTGGATGCAGACATTACTTTTGGTTATCAAACCAAATCTTCCATGTGAAAAATGTCATGAATACACAGTGTGATCAGTTTTGCATCGGTCTTCATGAAATGAGAGAATTTTGGAAAGGTTCTCCTTGTGCTGGGAAGGGAAAGGAGAAAGGCAGCAAAACACATGCTGAGACACCCTTGTAATGTTTAACATCCTGTGAGGTTTGTTTCCTTTTGGACATCCAAATCCTGCCCATCAATCCCAACATTTCAGGTGATGCTGCAGACATCTGAGAGGAAGAGCCTCTTGGGCTTCTGCAAGAGAGCTGGGAAAGGAGACTAAACAGAGCCAATGGCACCAGTGACACAAAGGAAAATAACTTTATTTTCCTTTTGCAAATCAGAGAGCTGGGAAAGGAGACTGAACAGAGCCAATGGCACCAGTCACACAAAGGAAAATAACTTGATTTTCCTTCTAGGCTGGAAGGGTTTCATGCCTGCTGTGTGCTCTTCTCTCCCTCCTGGGCTGAGACTTAGTGGTGACACTTTGCTGAGGTGTGTTTTGGGTGATAGCAGGAAAGAGAACAACCCCAGCAAGCCAAAATCACAAAGGGAAGTGGGAGATCATCAGTGTCATGCACTAAGCTTCATGGAGGAAAGCTAGATAATTTGATTTCTACAGTTTGTGAATTGTACAGCTCCCATCATTAAAAAGAGGAAAAAAACCAAACCAACAAAACATACAATTCTCAGTGTTAGCTTTTTAATGATTATCCCAGTGGTTGCACAGAGTTCACAAAGAAAATGTTTAAAAATGGGATAATGTTTATCTAATCACAACTCCCCCAGTGGAGCTCTTTATGCAAAGGCAGCTGTTTGCATATGATTATGGAAAATAAAGAAAAACTGAACACTAGAAATTAGTATTAAAGGTCTGGGCTGATGCTACTTTTTTTATGGGATTATACAAAACTCTTCAGTAATGCTAGAAGATGAGGAGGAAAGGAAACCTTACAAAAAACAAAGAAATTACAACAAGCTGAATTCTCTCAGGTACTGGCAGGCTTTGGTGAGACGATCAACTCTTTGGCTGAGGTAATTCCTGGTTTTAGCAGCTTCAGAGTCCTCATCAAGGAGAAAGTTTAACTTCTCTTTATCTTGTAAAAGTTGCAGCATTGAGGTCTGCAAGTTTTCTCCAAAGTCATGAAGGACAGAAGACAGGATGATCAGAGGTATCTGATTGGCCAGGCGTTTGCTTGCTTCCTGGGAGATGGAGGGAAAAAAAAGGCAAAATACTAAATTGGTAAAAAGAACTGAAAAATGAAGGATCTACAGGTAATCTGGTAAAAAAAGTGATTCCAAGGCCTTAAAATGTTGGACTGAATTACTGTTCAAGAAGGGAGTGCTGCTATGAACTGAAAAATGTTTGCAACCAGTGTCTTTTGTGCCTGAAATCCAAAAATTAAGAGTAATGGGGGTGTCAGCTGTTGCTTTTCTTCCCTCAGCAAACTAAAGCCAAGGCAGACTGTCCTCTGCTCAGCTCTGTCAGCTGCCACTGGGACAAGTCACAGGAGGACATTCCTGACAAACAGAACTTGTGCCCAGTTTCTGGTGTCCAACCTGTCTCCACTGAAAGCTGACAATATGCAGGAAATCACAGAGTGATTTTTCCTCAAGCTGGTAAATTCCTCTGTCAAATTATTATTTAGATGGTATTTCTGATGTGGTTGTCCTTTTAAGCTTAAGAGAGCTTTGGAGGAAGCTTTAGCCTTGAGGGGAAATGTCCTCAGCAGAGAGACCAGACCGTGCCTACATTACATCTGTTGATATCCCATGAGATAATCTCCTGTCTGACCTGACCAGCTGCCTGGTTCATTTATGGATGCAAGCTGAAACAGGTTGATCCAGAAGAGCTTGTGGGGCCCTCTCCCCATGGACAGCCACAGGGTTTGGGGGCTCACCTGGTGCTTTAGGGAAACATGAGGTTCTAAAGATCTCCCAGCTCTGCCTCCAGCCCTCCAGGTGCTGGGTGAGCACTTCTCTAAGTGCCTGGCTGCAACTGAGAGGTGCTGTCTTTCTTTTTGTAGCACAACTTGCAAATGGCATTTGTAGGTCCTGTAGGATGTAGGCAGTCATGGACACTTAACTTCCACCTCATTCAAACTCTACTTGGCCTTGCATAAATCAGTCCCAAGGAGCTGTGGTGCCCTGGCATTTGGGGGATTGTTGAAAATGGCTCTCAGGGCATTTACAAAAATATTTAACTGCAGATAAAACATATAGCAGAGTGTGTAGCAAGGTGGGATGGACGTGATTGTGCACTTCTGACCTTGTTTCTTGTTCTATGAAAACCAAGCAATTTTTCTTCATCAGCCTGACCATTTAATTGCAGGAATTTGCACAAAGCCTGCTCTTGGAATTCAAAGTGAGCTGCTACCTACCTTTCTGAATTATGAATATTGAACTTGTTGCTTTCTGAGGGAGTTTTACAACAAAGCAAATCTTGATCCTGCATGTTGTCCTTTCTTTCTTTAACGTGCT